ATCTCAGAAAATGTATGTGGCAGATCAATATAGATAGATTCGAAGAGAAGACGGTAGCTTTAGGGACAATTCGAACACAAATTTGGGCAAATTACGCGTGGATTCACATGGATTAATATGGATCAATAAAACACAGCCACGGACTCCGACCCTCAACGTGATAAATTTATAAACAAACAGACAAACGAAAAATGGCGGACCACAGACCGCAGCGCAGTCAAGCGGGAGCTCTCACCACGCTGACTATACCAGTATGGTAAATTTAACCTACCAACACCATGACCAGTCGCATACAGATGCCTACAGATATCAAACGCAAGTGTTACCATGTTATTCCATACTTTTAACTCATCGTATGGTAAAAAATACCCAGCTGATGGTGAGAAATACCTAAACGGTGGACAGACACACCTAACTGATATTTACAATCCGGGTATGGTAATTTTTATATCGAGTATGATTCTCACTTTCATCTAGATGCTTAAATCGACCATTATTTGGCTTTTTATCACCATATTTTTTTTTACTATACCATTATGGTCAATCCCACTTCCACTTTTTTTTCAGTGTTCTGCTGTTAAATTCACGTACAGCTTCAAGGAAATCTCTTTTGTAATCTGGATGAGACTTCGGTACTTTCGTACTTCGGTACAAAAACCAGCCCAAAAAATGATTTTTGGAACCCATTTTGGCCGGCATCTTAGATTTGAGGGATCCCTGTCGGCCAGAAGGGAATTTTTGACCTCAAATTTGGATCCTATGACCCAAAAAACATAAAAAAAGACATCTCACTCGTCACCAAAAGCTGGAATTGAGAATTTTTACTCCGGGGCCTATTTTTGGCCGCCATCTTGAATTTGCGCGATCCCTTTTAGTCGTGAGGGATTTCTGACCTCATATTCGGATTCTACGACCAAAATTACACAGGAATCGATGTGTCACTTGACATTGTGAGGGAGTTGTAACATTTGCACTCCGCGGCGGCGCATATCGGCCGCCATTTTGCCTTGGGTGGGGGGGGGAGGGAAACGGCCCAGCGAATGATTTTCTTTTCAGCGGGGATGTTTTCCTGAGGTGTTTCGCTGTACTTTTCCGCTTTCAGATATGGGGACTTTCATTTTCTTAATTAGATTTAGTTAAAACCCACTGTGAGTAAGAGCAAAAGCCTGCTTGAAAACAATTGAAATCATCCCTAGGAGTAAACATATAGCTCTTGGTACAAACCTGATTGCCGGTAACTTCAGAAAAACTCAAGGGGTGTGGGTCAGGTTCGCACAAGAACTTTTTTAAAGTATTAAAATGAAATGACTCACTTGCACTTCACTAGTTTTTGTTCGGTCAGACGCGTTTCAATCGCCTCGTGCGATCGAGAGTCTGAGCGACGGATTCGCCTCTGCGGGTCGATTTTCGAATCGTTATCGAATGGTCCTGATCGATAAATCCCTACCTTAGCAATGCTTTTTATCGATCATGGTCATTCGATATCGATTGAACAATCGAGCTGTCTGTTCGACGGGCTCCGTCCATCCAGCACCCCTCCGATGATCTAGGACTTGAAACATTGGATTTGAAATCTCTAAAAAGCCGGTGTTGAAACTGCGGTGTTCATGTTGATAGATACAGGGTTATTCAAAAGTCACGCACCACTGGTCATAACTTTAGTACTTAATTATGATATCGATTTGCGGTTTAAGACGTGTTTCCTCATACCGAGGGGGAAACTTTTTTAGGTACTTTCCAGTTTTTGATCCCCTCGGGGGGGGGGGGGGGGGCAACTCAACAATTTCAAATAGCCACAACCCTCATGGCCGCAGTGGTGCGTAACTTTTGAATAACCCTGTATGAATGTTTTCCCTTGCTTTTAAATCGCATTCGAACGAGGTTGGAAATTACTTTGGGAATTTTCATGATGATTGTTCTGATAATTTCCATTTTAGTATGAATTATTGTTAAAATTCTTAGTTTGATTAGCCTTTGAAAGATTCAATTTGCGTTCCTGCGCAGAAATTTTGTTAATAATTTCGTCTAACTTTTAAGTTATCTACTTGCTTCGGGAGAGAGGAGCGGAATCTAACTTCATTCTTTTCCCAGTCGTGTGCGGGGACTGCAAAATCGCACGTAAATCACGAAAATATATCAGAAAGCGATTATGCGTTGTGCAGTTTGCGATTTGCATGGATCCTATCGCATTTTTCCAAGTTCATCATATTGTGGTTCATTAAACTCACTGGAAATTTGGTTTTAAAATACGGTTAAAAGTAGAAAATACTCATTTTTTCTTGATTTTTTTTTTCGTGCTTTTTATTGAAGAAGCATGAACGAATTTTGACATCTCGAAGAACCCAAAATTTGGCAAGACACTGCCGGACGAAATCTGTCCATCTAACGAAAAAACCGGCAGCTGGCGACTAATTTCTCACGATATCGCAGATTTTCAACACAAAGATTGGTAACCTCGGCCAACAGATTTTGTCGATTTAATACACAGAAATGTTATACAAAAAGTAAACCAACAGCTTGTGTTACCTCATGTTTACTTCCCACACCAACAATTGATTTTGAATTTAGTAAGTTATTTAGCATTGCCTTTATTAAGGAAATCATATAATTTGACACGGAACCACCTTATTACTTACAAAACACACATTATGTTTTCCTGTAATGCGTATTTTAATTTCATTAATTTAAATGAGAATAATCCTTGCAGAGTGTGCAAAAATTTCAAAATCATGAGTTAAAAAACGCTGGCTCCGCGAGTCTAAATATTAGAGCCAAAACAGAGCGGCGCGGCGTGCTGCCAGCGCGATGCGCGCATTGGCGCCTACAAACCTATTATGGATACTTCACGCATTGCGCGATTCGCGCATTGGCGCCTACAAACCTAACAGGGATACTTCACGCATTTCAAATCATCAGAGCCAAAATAAGCTAATCTACAAGCAGGAGGTACACTAATTAAGCACAAGAGTGCAGCACCGAACGAGGCACTAGAGATTGCAACATCAGTCAATCAGAGGATTAGCAGCACTATCTATATCCAACTGGATGTTTAACAAATTTTGACCGGACAGTATTCTTCTTCAAATTTCAAATTTTTCCAGTACGCGCAAAATTTTTCGGTCGCCTGATTTATTTAATAATTGAGACGTTTGAGTCTTAATCGCCGACACCGTGTACTTTTTCCTCACAGTGTTTACTCAAAATGTGATACAGTGTTCAAAACACTATTATTACATGATTTCGATTACTTTTTTTACTGAGCATTTGGCAACCCGGTGATAAGCGTCATGACGATGTCCACTCAATCGTCGAAGAGGAAAGGGACGAAGACGTGGAGAAGGCGAATAAAAATGAAAGTAATAAAAGGTTAGTGCTTGCATCTGTACACCGCCCGGGGCTCGAGTCCTCAATCTGTGTTTTCTGCAGTTGGCGAGCTCGAAAAAACTCATCTAAGACTGGCATTGTGACTCGTAAAAGCAAGATTAATACTCTTCAACGGGATCCTCTCGACGGAAATGAACGAGCTTACATTTACGGTGCTCTGACGGATCCACCGGGGAAAAAGTGAAAACACCTATTTATGCCCCGAATTAAGGTGTCGATAAAAGGAATCGAACGTCGGAGCTGCCGCACAGTGGATCGAGTCGATAGGAGAGGTCGGACAAAATTTGGAAACTTTAAACGCTCTTTTCACCATTTAAACAAAACTTGGAGATTTTTAAAGTGGTCCCATTGGTTTCTTCATTAAATTTTCTTCCATAAGCACCTCTTGCATTTCAAAATGTGACGAAATAAACATCAAAATTTGCAGTCTTAGTCAAAAAAATGTCGGGTTTGACTTCTCTAATCGACTCGATCCACTGTGTGCCAGTATGCTATCCATTTCCTAATGAGCGAGAAAACGACTTCTCCGAATGCTCAAGGGACTAGGTACAGATAAACTTTAGATTGCACACTTTAAGTCTCATCCAGTAATTCTGAGTCATGAAGACTGGGGCAAACCGGTAAAAGACAGGGACTCAAAGAACCTGTAGATAACTTAGGGAAGGAGTCACTGAACTAAAAACGAATTCTGACCTGCGAATTCATTTTTCTAAAGGTAAATGTCGCGTAGAATAATGCGAAGAAGTAACTCAGAAACCGGGAAATGTGCAGTTCATAATGGACAACCTTTTCGAAAATTTGAAACGTCCCAGTTTCGTTCCGAACCGAATGATGTCATCCGGGACCAATCAGAGGCGATCACGAGTTTCGTCAAATGTCGTTATACTTTTCATCAATTAAAGCAATACGATCGTCGAAACTTTACCCTCAGAATCGAGGATTCGATTCTTATTCATCTCATATAGTGTACAAGCCACAATTCACATTAATAACAAACATTAGTGGAAAATGAGAGGAGATAACGCTTTACGTTTGAAACTCCCTCAAGTCTCTGGACTTTTTAAAAGTGGGCTTGTCCGGGATTCTGTCCCCGTAAAATCGCAATAAATGACCGCCTTATCCGCTCACCTGGTACTTTCAGAACACCAGGTTTAGTGACCCATGTAGGTGGCAGTTCGGGAGTTTTTTCATTTCAAGTTATGTTGAAAAATTAAGTACGATTAAGGCATGATCATTTAATCAACTCAATTTTTCTATTGTTTTCAAAACTTTTAGATTGATGAATTCCCGTCCCTGGCGTGTGTTGTAGTAAAGTGCTTTCAAAATGTATGTACGCATCCCGATGAGCATTAGACCATGTTTAGAATGGATGCTTCTAATGCTTCTGTCGCAGCTCATTGCGTCCAACATGAACGAAGTACTTGGCTGAAGTACTCAAATATAGTTGATCAACTCCTTTTTTTCACCTCGTTTTAAAAAAAAAAAATTCTTTATGACGGACGGATTCCCGTCCCAGCGACGTGTGGTATAGTCAAGTTCTTTGAGGGATGTATGTTCGCATCCCGATAAGTATAAAGTCATGCCTTGAATGAACACCCCTATTGCTTCTGTTGCAGCTCAATGCGTCCGACATGAACAAAGTAACCTTGGACGACCTCACATTCGCAAGCAGCGGCTCCTACCAATGTGAAGTCTCCACGGAAGGACCTAATTTTGAAACGTCCTCGAAAAGTGCCAACATGACCGTTGTCGGTAAGGAAAATTTATCTTCACTCACTTCATCGATGAATTTTCTTGTTGATTTTTGAATCAGCGACCCAAAATGGATTTATTCTAGACTGGAACTCGGAGTTAAATAACGTTTAAACATGTAGAGATAATAACACTGAAAAAAAGACGATCATTTTGGCACCAATAAGTATTTTTTCCTAAATCAAGAATTTTGTTGCCTAATGTAAACAAATTTTCTCACTTACTTTTCTTCCTCTTTCGCCCGATGCAAATTCGGTTGTCACTATTTTACACGTTTATACTATGGCCATTTCGGCGGTAGAAGCCTTCATCATGTATTTTTAAAAAACCAACAATGAAAACGAAAACAAAAAACGGAAGCAAAAATTCCGCGTATTTATCGCCGGCGGCGCGTCGCGATACTAGCGAGTGCGATGTCTTTTTTTAATTTTCCGCTGAACTGAATCATTATTTTGCCTGTAGTTGGAAATAATTGAAAAATTCAGGCTAATTCAAGAAAAATAATAATTCTTGGTGGCAAAGTCAATAATCATCATGCTTGAGGCAAGCACATTGTTTTTTCAGTGAACGATGTGAGTCTTTTTGAATGTCACCTGTTTCTTAATTTCTCCTCTTACGAATCGGGGGGCATTAACCAGAATCACATAACTCCATCAAACGTTACCTCATTACTTCTCATGTTTTTCGTTGACCTGATAACATAAGCAACATTCTGCCTTGAATTTCGTAAGTGCAATTTTCATCATCTTCGGAGAATTTCAGAGGAAGAGTTTCAAGGCAACATGGAGCTGTTAAGTTCTCTTTTAAAATTTAAGGAGAGGAAGTTAGGCATTGTGAAATGCCAGCAAGGCTAATTGGACCACATTTTGCAACATGGAACTCCTCTTTCTACCCTCAATAGAATCAACGCGCCCCTAGTTTCTCCGTGGAGATCGGTGCTTTTATAAATAAGTGAAAAACCTAGTTCCCAATTGCGAAGTCCAATTCTGGTTGAATCCAAGCAATCACAGCTCAAAAGAAGTTTTTAGTATTCCTTTACACAATGCTCATTTTTCGCATGTAGGGTTAAGAAATGTTCAAACGTTCTTTTCGTTAAAGTTGTGTAGTAGTAATCAAACTACGTATTAGTAATTTTACGAAAAAACTGAATCCGTCCATTCAACTTTAACTAAAATTAGCTATTTTCTTCTGATCGTATAACACCTGCAAATTATTATTTCTCCTCTACCATAAAAGTCACACCGTACGGAGCTGCAAGCAAATATTAAAAGGAACCCCAATAATCTATCACATCTCATGTCGTCACCTTCCGGTCAAAGTATCACAAGCGCCATGCGATGTTTAAAAATTTCCGCCGCCAATCTATTTTTTTATAGAGAAGTTGTTCAACGAAACTGTCCGAAAATTTCACTGAATTTTCTTTGTCCTGCCGATAAAATTCAGTGAAATTTTNTGCGATGTTTAAAAATTTCCGCCGCCAATCTATTTTTTTAAAGAGAAATTGTTCAACGAAATTTTCAAACAGATTCAACCGAAAATTTCTCTGTAAAAAATAAAATGGTGGCGGAAATTTTTAAACGTCGCATGGCGCTTGTGATACTTTGCCTGGAAGGTGACGATCTCATGTGACAAAATACATCAAGATCAGAATAAACCAAGAAACAGAAAAGCTGAACTAAGGCAGGTATGCATTAAAAACGGCTTTATGAGGATTGTTGGTTTCCCTTTCCTCAACTTGCTTTCCGCGAACAGTACTGCTGATAGTGGCTAGTATCCCCTCCATGGTTATAGTCAGAAAGTGAGGAAGAAGAAAATGTGGAAGAAGAAGACAGAGAAGAGGGCAAGAAACTGATCTGCGCATGTAAAGGGCGGNAATTTCTCTGTAAAAAAATAAAATGGTGGCGGAAATTTTTAAACGTCGCATGGCGCTTGTGATACTTTGCCTGGAAGGTGACGATGTGATAAAATACATCAAGATCAGAATGAACCAAGAAACAGAAAAGCTGAGCTAATGCAGGTATGCATTAAAAACGGCTTTATGAGGATTGTCGGTTTCCCTTTCCTCAACTTGCTTTCCACGAACAGTAGTGCTGATAGTGGCTAGTATCCCCGCCATGGTTATAGTCAGAAAGTGAAGAAGAAGAAAATGCGGAAGAAGAAGACAGAGAAGAGGGCAAGAAACTGATCTGCGCATGTAAAGGGCGGCATAGACCCGACGTTTCCTGTAAGAGTTTCCCTCGCAGGTCCGGAGCAAGATTTCGCCATTTCCCAACCCTCATTTATCCTGTCTTCACAGCTCTCCATTTTTTTTATCGTTGCTCCTTATCCTCTAGCGAGGTTGCGACTAAGCTTCAACCTTACTCCTTCAAAGTTATACAGGGTGTTCTACGTTCAACACAAAAACAAGCGGGAAAGTTCTAATACTGTCGTATTAGAAAAGCGCTCAGGTGTTAGTAAATGTATTTAATGAAGAGAGGACGTATAAACTCCGTCGACTTGGCTGGGAAACGGAAATAAAACATCAGCATGATAGCAAACAAAGGTTACCAAGGAAACCGTAAACGCGTATTTTTGTTTCCCGAAAATGAGCTCCCCGTTGAGCTCATCAGGCGCGTTTTTTTAGGCTTCATTTGAGTTCAACGATCAATTTCGATAAGAATTTCTCTACCGCTAAGAAATTTTCTTATAGACAAACGATCGAAACTACCTGCGCATTACGTTAAAAGCATAAAATACAGTTTTCACAGCTTTATTTTTTTTAAAAATTGACACCCCCCCCCNCCCCCCCCCCCCCCCAAAAAAAAAAGCCTGCACATCGATGAGCTGGTGCGCCATTTAAACGCATAAGCACTAGTATACTAGTACTCAGAGGCAAGTCGAAATCAAAAAGCGCTGCCTATCGGCTGAGCGCTTAAAACTCTTACACACGCCAGAGCCGCTTTTACAGTGCTCTCTAGACCTCTGCGACGTCTAACCGCCACAGTATTTTATTCTTTCAAAGTTATTTGGGAACCAGGCCCCTGATTTTTTGTTACGTTTTCGTCGCGACACTCTAGTGCCCCTTTATCGTCCTACTGAATAACCTCCCTTCTGTCGTCCTGTTAATTTCACCCTTATTAGCCGTTTGGTCACAACCGGAAATACGTCTTTTTCTACTCCCAGTATCTCACGAATTCTGCTACCACGGCTTCGTTCCCTGCCAGATATGCATCTCAATTGGATGGCATTTTGCAAAAAGGAACTAAGAGCATTCCGATGATATGCTATGATTAGTATACTAGTACTCAGAGGCAAGTCGAAATCAAAAAGCGCTATGATTCCTGCTATGATTGTGCAACTTTCAATCTTTGAAATAAAATTACTGGAATCGTGCATAAAATTAAATTTATAAAGAAAATTTTCGTCTTGAATTCGTAGTTGATTGGGAGTAAGATATACCTTGTTTAGATTATCAGTATATATTTGCAAGGTCAAAAGAGTTGCACAATTTTAGCAACATTGAAATGATCTGGGTTCCTTTTTGCAGAATGCAATCCAATTAATTCAGCATATTCTATACCGCCAAATACCTGTTTATAAACAATAGCGCTGTCACTTTATTCTCGTCATCACCCAAAATAATCAAGGATGTACATTTCATGCGTAAATAGGGAAAAATAAAGTCATATAAATTGTATTCTGTTGGTTGTGGAGCTACGTAAGGACTGATGTGCACCAAAAATGCGTTCAGTAATTGCCTCTATATAATTCCAAAAAATCCTCTAGTGTGGTTTTTATGTGTTGTTGCGTTTCTCTGCTTGTCTCTGTTTGAAAATAAAATGTTTTCACCTGGAATTGGTCTTAAATAACTACAGAACAGTATCTTACAGCAGCAAGCTATTAAAGTTCAGAGGGAAAAAATACCAAATCGCCTATCAGCTCCCATCGAAGTTGCGACATTTGTCTTCGATTTTTAGGGAAAAAATATATTTTAAAATTAAGATTCCCAGGGGCACTCTCTCCATTTCAATGCTGGAAGTACCTCTTGAGAAAGACGAGGAGTTGCAAGGGTGACGAGTGTATCAAGTATCTTGTCTACTTTCTTCCAGTTCTATTTTTTAAAAGTTAAGTCGGAATTTAGAAGGAGGCCAAAAAGCACGTTAAAAAGAAACCTTATAAAATCTGTCCGAAGCATACAATTGATATTTACGTAACAGGAACCTGGAAAAGGGCAAACGATCAATAATTTCAAGTGCTGTAAAGCGATTACCATTTACGAAAATCTTGCGCCGTAGTTGCGGCGTTCCAAAATCTTCTCTGCAAAATGTTGCTCTTTCGGAAGGAAATTCATCAANGGCGGAAATTTTTAAACGTCGCATGGCGCTTGTGATACTTTGCCTGGAAGGTGACGATGTGATAAAATACATCAAGATCAGAATGAACCAAGAAACAGAAAAGCTGAGCTAATGCAGGTATGCATTAAAAACGGCTTTATGAGGATTGTTGGTTTCCCTTTCCTCAACTTGCTTTCCACGAACAGTAGTGCTGATAGTGGCTAGTATCCTCGCCATGGTTATAGTCAGAAAGTGAAAAAAAAAGAAAATGTGGAAGAAGAAGACGGAGAAGAGGGCAAGAAACTGATCTGCGCATGTAAAGGGCGGCATAGACCCGACGTTTCCTGTAAGAGTTTCCCTCGCAGGTCCGGAGCAAGATTTCGCCATTTACCCGCGCTCATTTATCCTGTCTTCACAGCTCTCCATTTTTTTTATCGTTGCTCCTTATCCTCCAGCGAGGTTGCGACTAAGCTTCAACCCTACTCCTTCAAAGTTATACAGGATGTTCTACGTTCAACACAAAAAAAATCTTACACACGCCAGAGCCGCTTTACAGTGCTCTCTACACTGAAAAAAAAGTAGCTTGGATCAAGCATGATGATTCTTGAATTTGCCGCCAAGAAATTTTTTTTTCTTGCTTTAAGCTGACTTTTTCTTGATACAAGCAAAATAATGCTTGGGTTAAGC